CAGAGAAGTTTATTGGGCCCAAGAGAATGCCTTGCGGGATGCCGTTCCAATACACTCAAATACGCACGCGAACATAACGTTTGTGGGGGACCTAAACTGGCAGAGTCTTAAAGGTTTTGTGACAAAGTAGCAATTACCTCACAATATTGCCGCGAATGAACTCTTGGCTCGCTTACAACACATGTGCTTTTGTTTTAGAAACCAGTAAGCTTGTCGAGAAAGGAGTAAGAATGACTTTGACTTTCCGTACGCAAACTTCTTAAGAAGCATTACGGCAATGTTGGGGTTTTGGATGACAGCCCTAAGCTTTCCCTTTATGTAAGCTTTTAGTTTCTCAGCTCTGTGTAACCCAATCCATCCAGCGGGACTCCCTGCTAAACCACATCAGGGGCTGAATCCAGAAGCTGTTAGCGGCTGCAAAAACATGGGTGCCGAGTGTTACGCCTTACGCTGAGATTCTCAATGCTTTTCATGTGGTGGCAATAGCTGGTTCATGCAAGAGCTAAACTGGAGTCTGTGTACAGTGTCAAAATGATTGTACTACCATTGGCAATTTAAAGCAGGGGTACCTAGCTTTCAAACTACAATAATGTAACTGTGTAATAAAATCAAACTAGTTTCTCCAAACAATTTGGGTCTATCTCTAGTTTTTAGAAAGATGTAGTTTTGGCCTCTGTCATAATTTCAGATCTGCGTTTTCAGACAGAAAAAAAGTTTCATCTTTGGCCCTTTGGCAGGATGATGTCAAGATAGATAAAAACAAGACAATCAACAGGCACAAACACACATCCACAGGGTATAAAAACTGCAATTCAAAAAGATAATTGGGTGTAAATGTGAAAGAAACCATTTTACATTTTTAAATATTATTTATTCAATGCTGGTTCTTCAACAGATCATTATGTAAGATCAAAAGTGCACACAACAAAGCTTAATAATCTCGTGTGAAAGGTTGCGACAGAGGAATCCTGTCAGTGCAAATGACCAGGTCAGGGTTAGCACATGCCAAGTCTACATTTTGTGCCTAAGGGAATTGTTTTTTAGACTTGATGAGTCACTTTTTACCGGTAATGTTTGGCAATCACATGGAGTCACTCCAACTTTAATTTGTTATGTTCCCTTAAATGAAGTTTGGCATATAAACTGCTTGTCGGGACAGAAGTATTTTCCATCCAAGGCTAGTACAAGGGTAAAACAAAAGGGGTATAAATGTTTCTTATACATATGGACATTTTGGACATATTTTAATTATTTGATAGAAAACAAAGGCCAGTCACTTCCCTCCTTACAAAATATCCATATAGACTATTAACTGTGGAGACTTGTGGTAAAGTTGAAGCTGTACTTAAACCTGGCCATAAAACAGTCTTTTGATAAGCTTTTTCAAGGAGGAAAGTGGAAAAAAGACGACCACCCTCACTCCGCCCAAAGCATCAAAAAGTGACTCACAAGTATGCAAAAGATAACAGATGAAGACAGATGTTGTGATCTGATTTGTTCAAAACACGTTACTTTTATAGCACTGTTTCTGTTGGAACAAACAAAATGTATGATTTTGGAAAAACATTTTTGCTACCACAGCTTTAAAGTGATTGTCTGCAGTTTGTCAGAAAGAGAAAGAGAGAGGTACTTGATTTGAAAAAAACGACGCAAGCTCCCTCCCCCTTCCTTTCTGATTGGTCTACACCAGGGGTCTCCAACCTGTAGCTCGGGAGCCGCCAGTAGCTCGCCGCCTCCTTCCAGGTAGCTCACCAAAGGATTTAGATAAATAGAAATAAATAACATAATATACTAACTATTTCAGATTGTATTATCATATCATTGTAAATGCACTTACTTTGTAGCACTAGTAACAAATATGCGATAACAAAATAATGACTGTACCCAATCTCATACTTGTTCACACCAATATACCACCACATTTTCCCCAGGGTTTTCTTAAAGGAGTAGCTCTCTGCCTTTATTGTCGTGGAAAAAAAGCTCTCTCGGTGAAAAAGGTTGGAGACACCTGGTCTACACCTACGTTTCCGTAACACTTTGAAATGTTAATGAGATAACACTTTATACATATACATTATTAATACACATGCACGGAGGTTTTCAGAATTATTTGTTAACGTTTTCATGAAAAAAATGATGTTTTAATGCACAAAAAAACGATCGCGGCAAACCAGGAAGAAGCTATTATCATATAGGACACATAGGACACATCTGCAGAGGATCTGATTATGGATATAGGTTCAGTATATAAATGAGTAACTCAGTTCAGAATTCTTTGTTCAGCTTTCATGTAGTTCCAGAGCCTATAAAGGCTTGATTCGGAGGATCCGTGAAAACAAACAACTGAGCATGCGCGCAGCTGCGCGCAGCTGCGAGCATCAGCGTCGATGATTGACAGCCCTTGGCATGACTCGATTGGTTTACGTGGACGGCATTGTGGATTCTGAACTATAACGAAGAGAAGGGAAGGCGGGACTTGCCAGTAATATTAGAATTAATAAAATGACTTATTTTATATCAACATTTAAGACCAGGAGGTCTTTTTAACACATTTCCTAAAATGTGGTATTCATTTAGAGTTACAAACTATCACTTTAAGTAAAAAACTGCATTTGAAACATTATCCTTTCAACCATAACCCTAACCCAAAGCGTTAAGACAAACATAAATAGTATAAATGTAACCAATTACAATTATACAGCTGAACATGTGAAATTACTTCTGCATGCTTTAGCAATCTTCTTAGTTGGGGATCTTTTCTTGATATTATTGATGTTTCTATGCAATATCAATAAAATAAAGATTCAAACCTGTATACAGATGGACAATGCTAACACACTTGCTCAATAAAGCCATCAGCGGAATTGCTCATAGGAAAATGTTTTGCGCCAACTCGCTCTTTCTCCTTTTGACTTATATTGAAAAGTAAAAGCTCAGTTACCGCATGTGTCACACTCACCATTTTGGACTCTTTATGATCCTGGTGTTTATTTATTTTTTTGATATTGTTCCTGTCAATCCAGATAGGATCCAAACAGTATAATAATTTACAAATGTACAGTAATGCCTCCATTCTCAGGGGAAAGTCCAGCTAGCAACCGTCTTAGCAACACGTCCGCCTTGTTAAGCCGCAAAGCTAACTATAACGGAACAAATGCCATATAAGGAAATTGTCCCCTGCTAGCTTATGTTTAAATCAGCTTTTTCCAAATAAGGTAAACACTATGGGTGATGTCAGCACTCGGTTAGTTTACTCCTAATGTACAACCTATGCAGACAAGTTACAAGGCAATCCCACTCTTTGTAAAAATAAGATAAGATAAGATAGACCTTTATGCCTCTGTGGGGCAGAATAAAAGAAAGGAGGTAATAAGAGCACTCAGATTGCACACATCAAACAAAATCTGTTATTTAAGACAATAGATAATGCGATTAAATGAAGTACTAAGTAATGAGATAATGAATTAAAGTACAAATGAGAGATACTGTACATCGCATAATAAAGGTGCCAGCTGTATCCTCGTCCCCCAGCGATCGTGAAGCGCAACCTGTTTGAAATCACAATGTAGTTTCCTGCTCTCTCCTGTGTGTGGTATTGGAGTAACTGTCAGTGGATCTCCCAAACTAATGCCCACATGACAGCTCCAGTCAGACCACCCAGGAGGACTGCCGGTGGGCCCATAGGGATGAGTGTATATACGCAGATATTAGTTATGCGTGCACACGGCACCCAAAAGCACCGCAGGACACTTCATCATCTGCAACTGACAGAGAAAAGACACCGTGGCTCCAAACACTCGAGAATGTTTATGAGATTAACGTGAAATGATGTGTTCCCGCTGCAGTATTTTGACCACAAATAACTCCCTCCGTTTTATCCGTTCTTCACTCAAAATTCTGCTCATCGCATTTATCTGTGTAGCATTTCTCCAATAAGAACAAAAGGGATTATGTTTTTAAGTCAGAATGCAAGCTAAGAAATTTCACGTTTTACCAGCTTAGGAGATTTACTTTGCAGGGGCATGCAAAAAACAGGCTTGAAGTGATTAGCCATGCTTCTAAGTGAATAAATTGACAGTTAGCCACCCTTCAAAGTTATAAGTTAAATCTAGCTAGTAAGTACATATAAGCTGTACTTTAATGCGTTTACGCGTTGAAATTGATTTTACCAGTGTCTATACTTTCACACAAAGAAGAATTATTACGCAATTCTTCTCGCAATTACAAAATAATAATGAGACTGTTTTACTGCTCAGAATGTGAAATTATATTGTCAGTAGAAATAAAAAAGTGGTGAAACAATCACAGAGGGTAAAACTTCGAAAAGTCCTCCAAGACGACTGCTGTTGTGATTTAGGGCTAATATTGTTTTGGTTTTTTCCAAATTTGAAAATGACCAGCTGCAAACTCAGTTATGTGATTGTTCTAAAAGCCAGAAAACTGCTCTGAGCGTGATGTCATAGTGGTACAATAATAATAATAATAATAATAATGCATCACAATGACATCATACTATTAAAGGAATGACACAGGAGCTTTTAGAGTTACATGTTTGTGCCAGAAATTCCTAATATTAGTGTGAGTGGATCAAAAAACTCGACGAGGAACAATGTTTTAGCACGGATAAAAGTTCATCCATTTATTTTTTTACTTTTTATCTCCTGCTGGTCTAGTACTTTTGCCACCTCTGGAGATTTTCTATAGAAGCAATAGAACTATTTATGCTTGCTGTGTTTTTGAAAATCAGTTGCAACAAATCAAGTTTAAATATGACTGATACCAAGTAAATCCAGTTGAAAGTACTTAAATAAACAAGCGTCTCGTGCGGTCGCCGTTTTACAACCTCTCATGTAAACTTTTCAACTTCTGATTACACCTAGATTTGTCATCTTGTAATTTTCTCGGCTTTTTGAACTTGAAACGCAGATAATGTTGAGCCTAAAGACATTTCAGGGCGATGACGAGAGCACACCTGTCTTTGCCTAATGAGATGAAAGCGCATGAGTTTTATCAAAGAGATTCCTGCTCTTAATGTCGGCATAGGGGAAGGCCGCAGAGGTGAGGATGTTCAAAACAAGCAGAGATTGCATTTAAACTTTTCACCCGTTGACTTTAGAAGACTCGAAATACAGAGATTTACACGAGCGGACTTTTGTTTGTTTTGCTTTGATGATTATCTGAGCAGACGCTTGTCATTTTTATCTCCGCTCGGCCTTCACAAAGGCGTGGTGTTAGTGGAAGATATGATCGGAGTCTCCCACAGTCCTCAGAGCGGCTGGATAAGGCTCACTGTGTGCACATCGTCATTAATACATTCATCTCATTTTTATATCATTTATGTAGTTTGGTTCAGTACAATTGTGTTTATTGTTTATTGAGCTGGCACACACATTAGTCTTTACAAAAAAAGAGATATTTTGCACCAGATTTAGCCACTGCTACTTTTCATCCGTCGTCCCTGGGCAGAAGAGCGCCATAGGATTTAGAACAGAGGTGTCAAACTCAGGCCTGTGGGCCAAACTCGGCCGGCAAGATCCTTTTTAGTGGCCCCTGAAATGATTTTCATTGATCTTCATCACTGTAACTTGCAGCGTTGTAACCTTGCCTGCAAGCTGAATTCTCGCGGTATTTGTAAGTTCACAAACACTCGAGAATACATCTTGCCCCGCTCTCGCCAACCCTTTTCGAGTAGAACATCTAGTTGTTCAAGCCAATCACGCGCCAGTCTGGGGGTTTAGGGCGGGATATCCGGGTTTGACGAAAGCAAGAAGTGCCGGGCCGAAGCAAAACAAACATGGCTACGCAGGAGGACGGACGCGTAGCTGAGGCTATCAAGTCAGTTTTAGCAGAATCTCCAATTTATTTTTTGAAAGATGAACAGCGAGAGGCGCTTTGTGCATTTCTGGATGGCAAAGATGTTTAAGATTGGTTTAAGTCAAACCTTGGTAGGCGGGCACACAGCGTCACTTCGCCCAATCAGCTTGAAGTATTCTGCTGCTTATCCCTCCTTTCCCCGAAAGGATTCTCCTGCAGAAGTCCCAGATTGATATTGTGGAGAACGCATTAGAGTTCTACACAATCATCAATCTGGCTCTTGCCAGGTTAGCAGCGTTGATGGTAATGGGCGACTAAGGCATGTTGAACTTATTTTTAACACCTTTTCTCTCCAGAGAACAGCCAAATAATTTGCTGTGTTCTAATAAGTTACCTAAAATGTAGTTATGAAATTATAATTATTGAATTATTTATAATTTTATTTTATATGTTTTACTATCAGCCTTAAAATAAAGTTCTTCTTGACATTTGGCCCAGTACTAGTTGAATCCAAACCTACTAGAAAATAATTTCCAAACTCATGTCAAATACAATTAATTTTGTTATTTGTACACAAAAACATGTAAAAAGATTTTGTTTTAATACTTCTGGCCACAACAAACAAGCTCTTACGTTTTTAAATTTGGCTCTCGACCAAAATGAGTTTGACATGCCTGCTTTAGAAGGACTAAAGCTTCGTGCTCATAGTGTTTGTCTGATGTAGAAGAAGCCGATTTGAACAGCCGCTAAATGGAGCCACATTCCTTACATGGGCATTTGTTACAACAGGGTGACCTATGTGCCGTAGCAGGGGCAGATGCAAACCCACATGTTGCTAACGTGGAGTTTCCCCCTGAATGACTGTTTCTCTTGAGGTGTTTATGTGTATTTGAAACAATAGTTGTGCCTCACGGTTCCATCCTTTCTCTGTGTTTGTTCGCAGACGTGGACGAGTGCTCCACGGGGCGGCACACCTGTGGTCCAGAGCAGACCTGCATCAACAGCCGGGGCTCGTACGCCTGCCAGTGTCCACAGGGGTATCAGAGGAGCGGGGAGCACTGCATAGGTCGGTCACACACAGGGGATTGTGGAAGATAGATAGATACAGTAGATGGATGGATGGATAGATAGATAGATAGATAGATAGATAGATAGATAGATACGATAGATGATGGATGGATACATACATACATGGATAGATGGATAGATAGATAGATAGATACGATAGATAGATAGATAAGATAGATAGATAGATAGATAAGATATATAGATAATGGATAAGTAACTAAGAATTATAAGAAGACTATTCAATTCATGTAGACAAAGCACCAACATTTTGAAAAGGAGTGAGTGGCAAAAGCTTGTAAAGCCCCTCCTGTAATTACTATTTCAGTTTCAATTATAACTTGTTTGTGCTATTTTCTTTCAATTGTGTCACTTAATAAACAATTTAATCATTAAAATTCAATGTAACACAGTAACTTCATTGGCTTTTAAGTTGGCGCCTCATACAGAGTAAAAAACATTTCTTTATACATTTGTTTAAACTGTTTTATGTTCGGGCATTGGACTTTTCTGACCCATCCATCCATCCATCCATTTTCTTCCCCTTAATCCATTTCTGGGTCGGGGGGGTGGCAGTCAGAGCTGCACCCAGCACACTTAGCACCAGCCAGACTTTTCTGACCCCGCAAACAAAAATACAAAAACTTTTCCAAATTGTTTAAACTTTAGCTGATTTAAACTTTTGTAGATAATGTATTTTTGGATGTTATGGTCTCATTTTTGCTTCTTACATTATCTGTGCTGTCTGAAAACGTATCATGTTCTTTAGTTTTAATGTTAGAATTATGAAAACTGTACCACTGTGCTCTGACTGTGACTGACATGTGGCTGTTGTGGTGAACTGCAGATAAAGACGAGTGCTCTCTGACGCACTACTGCATGCACCGCTGTGTGAACGCACCAGGATCCTACTCCTGCGAGTGCAACGTGGGCTACAAGCTGGCCAGCAACAACCACAGCTGTGTGGGTGAGTCTCAGGCACCTGTGAGGGCGGAGCACCTACGCTACGTTCACAAACACGCTTCTCATTCATGACGCTGAGAAATGTCACTGCCTCCAAGTGCACTACATCATTTAGATACTGAGTGTGTAAACTTTTGTGTATAAGTGATGTATTTTGACAAAGTTGCTTTACAATTCTGTGCATTTTCATCGACTCCAAGAAAATACAAGCATTTTCACACATGACATTCTGACATTTAATCATAGGAGCAGAAGAAGTTGCATTCATACATTAATCAAATTTTTGCCTACTGTACTTATAGTATAGACTTACACAAGCAAAGAAATATACATTCATATGCATAAGTTTAAAAGAAATAAGTTTACAATTGAATTTACCTCCAATAAGAGGTAAATTAAATTAAATTGTTAAATAAGTCTCATAATAGATCATGATTTATTGATGTCGTACATTAATGCCTGGCACAAAACACATTCTTAGTCAATTTGACCCAGTTGGTATAGAGTATAGTACCTGCACACCACTTCTTTGTGTGTAGAAAATGTATTAATAATTGTATCAATAATATCGTTATTGTCCAAAAGTCCATACAATGTGAAGCGAATATACATATACATTTCACGTGAAATGGAATGTTGACAATTTGCTCACAGCTTGTAAAACCCACAAAAAATTACATTTCATTAAATTTTAATAATAAAACAAAATCATTGAAACAAAAAAATAAACAAAGACTTGGCTTATGCATATGCACACACACACACACACACACACACACACACACACACACACACACACACACACATACACACACATGGTTTCCCCTTTTGAGATCCTGACTGTGTTCCTTAGACGTGAACGAGTGCGACGTGCAGAGTCCGTGCCAGCACCACTGCTACAATCTGCTGGGCTCCTTCCTGTGTCAGTGTGAACAGGGCTTTGAGCTGGCTCCGGACTCGGTCTCATGTCAAGGCAAGTGCGGCCGTCACCCACACACTCACCCTGCTGTAACGACACACACCGCTGCCAAATATCTGCTGCTGGGGTTCACTGTGACGACTGGGACTGTATCACACATTCCTCTGCTGCAGCGCGCTCACCTGTGTGTGTGTGTCCCTGTGTGTTTCCCTGTGTGTGTTTCTGTGTGTGTTTCCCTGCGTGTCTCCCTGTGTGTGTCTTTGCACATGTTTCCTTGTGTGTCCCTGTGTGTTTCCCTGTGTGTGTCCCTGTGTGTGTTTCTTTGTGTGTTTCCCTGTGTGTTTCATTGTGTGTCTTCCCGGTGCAGACATCGACGAGTGTGGCTTCTCCAGCTACATGTGTCAGTACCAGTGCATCAACACGGCCGGCAGCTACTCCTGTGAGTGTCCAGAGGGATACCAGCTCCAAGGGAACCGGCTTTGTCAAGGTACGAGACTCAGAGTTCTTATTTATGCCTAATGTGACATGTACATTTATCCACTGTGAGATCAATAAAGTCTTATCTTATCCTAAACTGCAAAAAGCTATATCATTTAATGTAATTTATTTTTGCATAGCCCTAAATCACAACAGCAGTGGTCTCGGAGGACTTTACAAAGTTGTTGCTTCGCCAACACAGATCAGGAAAGAAAACCGTTTGAACAAAGGAAATGCAAACATAGCAGACACATGGGAGCCATTGGTCCATCGGGAGCGGGAAGAAAAGACCAATGTCCAGAAATGTTTATAAATGTCCGGGTCATCACTGTCCTTAGACCCTGCTGCATTGGCAAGAAACAACACAAAAACCCAGTGATGAGTTATTTTACCCTTGAAGAAGATGAGCCAAGTCTGGGATCGCGTCTTACATTCAGACAGAAGACATGTTTTATTGTCGATGGTAGAGACAGCACGAACAACAGATACAACAGAATGCAAGTGTATTATACAGAGCGGAGGCATGGAGACCTCCAATCAGCAGCTGCCACGGTGCATGTAGCTTGGCCTTCAGATAGACAAAACAAGGGAACTGGCTTCTGCACATTGATAGAATGATGAGTTTAACTTTAACAAAAGTTGCTTCAAAGTGTTATGAAATCTCACACCCTCTCTGATGGTAAACCCGCCCATTCTTTTTGGAAGAAACCCTCAAGTTCCTAGAAATTCCTTGGCCTCCTTACATAATCTGCAATTCCCCCATATTGGCGCCTTGAGGTTAGCATGATTAGCTAGGGAAGTTAGCTAATCCCCTAACTGTTACCATTTGCCCGATACAAAATAAATATAATAGACAAATGAAAATATGATATTGTCTTTAATCAAAGGTGTTGTACATTGTGCCAATTCTAAGGGAATTCTGCATCTCCCTTGTTTCAGTTCTAGATTGTTTTATCATTTACTACTTTTCTTCCTCAAATGCAGCTGGGTTTATCTTGACGTCATTTACATTTATGTTGTTTTCACACACAAAATTATCAATGAACTTTTGACAACTTTTGGACTAAACCGTTCAATACCGTCCCAATCCTTAATCTCTTCTTTCCACGCACCTCCTCTCCCCGCCACTCTCCTCCTCTCTCAACCTCTCCCCTCTTCTCTCCCCTCCTCTCTCCTCCTCCTCTCCTCCTCTCCCCTCCTCTCCCCCATCTTTCCTCCTCTCTCCCCTCTTCTCCTCCTCTCCTCTCTCCTCCTCTCCTCTCTCCTCCTCTCCCCTCTTTTCTTTGAAGGCATAACTATAATAACTCCATCAGTCTCTCTTTAAAGTCACAATAAAAGCAGCTCTAACACAAACCAGCACCGCAGAAGCCGGGCAGCGCCAACACAGCGCACCAGTGTGAAGCTACGTGCACGCCGCTGCCACCGCCGCTCTCTCCGAGGGCTTTTAATTGCGGCGTTTGAAGCGGGCTGTTATTTTTCCCTCCCCCCAGCCCCCCCCGCTCAGGTGCAGGTTTTATAAGGGCCACTCATGAATCCAGTGGGTTGTGTCACTGGGCTCTTTGGTGATGAATCCAGTTTGCTCTGCCAGAAATAGCCTGTGTGGTTTGGCCGGTGTTTGATGGGGGCTATTTTGAAGAGGTTTATGCCCGGGGGAGGGGCAGTGGTCCTGGGTGTAAGCAGTGGACTCCGGGGTTTCCCTCTGCCTTCCAAAACATGCTCCCAACTCGTGTTTTAGTCGGAACATGCATCTTATTACTATACTGTACTTTCAAATATGTCTATCTTTGTTAAATGCAACTTAAAATAAAGTGTTGCCATATTTGTTTATTGAGGAATCACATTTTGGCAATCATATTTACACATTTCCTTAGTGTACATAGTTACACATTTATCAACCTTTCACAGTATACAGACATAAATGAATGAATACAAAAAAAACTATACAATGTGGAAGAAATAAAAAAAGTACTAATAAATAAAAAGTACTCAGTGATTTACAATATTCCATAAAGGAATCCGGGGTGGCATGGTGGCTGAGTGGTTAGCACTCTCGCTTCTCAGCAAGAATCCCAGTCAGAACAGGGGCCTTTCTGAGTGGAGCTTGCATGCTGTCCCATGTCTGCCTAGGTCTCCTCCAGGTGCTCCGGTTTCCCCTACCACTAAAAACTTGTACAATAGGCAAAATGTTTGGAGATGGGCTCTGGGCGCCGCACTATGACGCACACTGCTTCTGATAGAGGCCCTAGCAGCAATGAAAGAAGGGTCAGATGCAGAGGACACATTTGCCTACGAGGAAAATATAAGTATCACTCATCTCATGGTTCAAACCATATTTATCTTTTCCAACTTAAGGAATCCAAGCACATCATGAAACCACTGGTACATCAAAGGAACATTAGCCGACTTCCAGAGAAGCTGAATATTGCGCTGAGCTATGAGTGATGTAAAAGCAAATATTTTGGGATGAGGTGGGCCACTCATTACAGGATTAACTGAAAGACCAAATACAACCTTCAACCTTCATTTTAAGAGCCCTGGAGATTGTTTGCTTTTATTACCTATTTCATAGTAATTACTGTATACATGGGACACAAAACATGAGGAGTAATAAATATCATAGACTCCTATTCGTACAGTTTAACATCAGACCTTTACATTATATAAAAATCAAATATGTACATACTGTATGTGTGTCATAAAACATGTAGCATAAAAGGAATACAAATTAAGTAGTGTCTGGTGTTTGTACGTACTCAGATCACACAGAGACCAACCTCAAATTATGGGACTAAACTTGGAACAGCACTGTGAGCTTATGGACTGAACATGGACCGAACCAGGTCTACATCTAGACTAAACTGGGCTCAAAACAAAACCCAACATAAGCAAGTGGTAATTGATAAAAACTGAATATGATGTTATTGCAAGCTGAGGTCAGGGCCTCGTTATCCAGCCCCATTCAACTATTTGTTCTTCATTTTACATTCATTTCTTGAATCTTTTCTTTGTGCTTTGACAAAGTGACAGCTCCTGGTGGTGCCAGACTTGGCAATGACCCAAACACTGTGGGCAGTTCAAGTGGACTTAGTGGTCAGAAAATTACTCCCCAATCAGGATTATTAGTAATAACTGCTTTTGCACAGACATCAGTCACCAAGGGCCATTATGGAGGTGAAGTGACTCTTGTCTCATTCTTTGTTTACAGAGGGCCCTCACTATAACATGGTTCACTTTTTGAGAACTATTTTCCCACATCATTTTTACCTGCAATGTATTTATCCCCCCCTTAATCTGCAATAAATATGATTCTGCAGCATTGGACTGGCTTTTAACACAAATGTTATTCAAATATCAACCACTCAGATTGATACTGTTACATAAAGCTCCATGGGTGTTGTTATCCTTATTCATATTTTTCAAAAATATAGGAATTTTGCCCTTTCTTTGCACACTCAGCAAAGCAGACAGGAGTGTCAGAACAACAAACAACAACTCCAACAACGAAGCGCGCCAAACAAAACCGCCGTTTCCCGAGAACCAAAGACACCTGCTGCTTACTAACGCTGTTTAACCAACTCCTCTCCTCGTGCCAATCCTCCAGATATGAACGAGTGCGAGATGGGGACTCACAACTGCCAAGAGGAAGAAATGTGCTGGAACTATTACGGAGGCTTTCGCTGCTATCCAAGAAATCCCTGCGAACCTCCCTACACCAAGAGCTCAGAGAAGTCAGTCACCTCTTTTGTCTCAGCGTAATTATCCACAATCTTAGAGCTTTATTCGTTTAATTACTTCTCTTTTTGCAGTCGCTGTATCTGCCGCTCTCAAACCGAATGCCAGAGCCTGCCTCCCTCCATCGTCTTCAAGTACATGAGCATCCAGGCCGACCGCACCGTGCCAGCTGACATTTTTCAAATTCAGGCCACTAACATGTACGCCAACACGCACAACAGCTTCAAGATCAAAGCGGGCAACGAGGGAGGAGAGTTTTTCCTCAGGGTGAGTAAGGAGCCGGGGGTCGCGTCCCTTTCATGTTGCCGATTGTGCCATCTTCACGTCGTTAACCTTTCGCACTCCCACGTGAGCTTTGAAGGGCCTAATAAGGGGTTGTCATATTGAAATAGTGATAGATTTGGATGTATCACAAGCTCAATACGTGTGTAATCACATGGCAGACACGTGGCTACCAGGTTTTGTGTGCTTTTTATATACTCCCAAGAATTTTAACCTTGATCAGCCTGGGTCTGATTCCGCTTTCAGACCTTTCTGTGTGGAGTTTGCATGTTCTCCCAGTGTATGTGTAGGTTTCCCCCGAGTGCTCCGGTTTCCCCTACCACAAAAAATATGTACAATAGGTCTGACATGCGCCTCCCAAATGCCCATAACTATTGTAAAGCGCTTTGTGACGGTGAAAGGCGCTATTTAAATATAGATTACTTACTTACTCTATTAAGATTAAGGTTAAGAGATCCTTTGTTCGTCCCACAGTGGGGACATTTCAAGAAATTAGGCAAGGGATTAAAGCTGAACCTCACTTTCAAACATTTTTAGATCAGCTTTTTCAGACAGAAAAGTGAAACAGAGAGGACCACCCTCACTCAGCCAATCAGCTCTCAGCCCGACGCTTCAAACGGTGAATCACAAGGCTCTTTCTTACAAGAATAAAATAGATCACGTGTTTTCTAACGAGATGAAGATACAATGTTGTGGTTTGGTTTCTCCACAACATTTTACTTTTACAATATTCTTACTGTTGGACAAACAAAATGTGATATTAATGAAAAATAAATGAAGTTTGGTACCCCTTGCTAATCCTCACTGGAGGATCAAGCTGATTTGACCAATGACAGGCAGGATTGTTGTTCAGGACAGAACTCAAAAGGAAAAGCCCTCAATCAACCCAAAACAGTGAGATGTCAATGGACTTTTATCAACAGAAAATAATAACATTGTGGAGGAGACGTACACAAACCAAACAAACATAACTCATTCATAAAGGTTCTGATACTAGATTGTTGTATGGATCTATTGAAACCCCACAGGAGAATCACGTGTTTTTAAGCATGTATACAAATATTGCATGCCAAGAGGGCAAAGAGCCACATACCGTTGACATATGGTGTGTTCAAAACTGTTACTACAGTTAAAAATCAATTATAAAACACTTAATTATAATGTGAAGGCCCAAAATCTATGCACAATTGATTTCTCCTCCCTCCATTCACAAATGCATCTGGTCAGCGTCATTACTGCAGATCAATATTCTTTTCTCTGGTCCGCTTTAATATTACTGTTGATATAGTGAAGAAGGTTTTGGATTTTGATTAAGAACAACATTGCTTTTTTTCATTACTAGTCCATTAGTATCATACTTAGGATGAAACAATGTTGTTACACTGCAGCTGCCAAAGGAATTGTGAAAAACCCAAATATCAGTTTGAAGACATCAAAGAGACGTATGTTGTAACTATTATTAACAGTGTGGTTGTTAAAGTGTGTGATGGACGTTGAGATGAAATAGATTTAAAAAATAGATTTCAATAAAAAGTGGGTCTCTTGAGGTAATTTATCTCTAGCTAGCTGGTTTAGCCCAGAGTCAGCGTTCAAGTATTATTATAATTATTTTTTGGGAATCCCAATGGGGAAAATAAACAGAATTGCAAAGTGGGTAGCTTCATTCTTATACACAAAACTCTCTTGTGAACAATATCAAACTCCAGTTAGGGAACCATAACCATAAGAGAAGTCCATGGTGGGCATATGTCCTCATTGCTGGTATAAGGCAAGTTTAATTGTATACCACAATTCATACACAGTGTTGTCTTTGTGTGTCTGTTTGCAGAGGTCCAGTAACGTGAGTGCCATGTTAGTGATGACCAAGCCCCTGAGTGGGCCGCGGGAGGTGGTGGTGGACCTGGAGATGGTCACGCACCACGTGAGCATGAACTACAGGGCCAGCTCTCTGCTGCGGCTCACCATCATCGTGGGCCCCTACCCCTTCTGAGGGCCACATCCTGTCTGTCAGGCAGCAGCAGAGGCCCCCAGCGCCACTCACTGTACCGTGTTTGCATTGTGTGCAAAAGTGTTCAGAAGATGGCTTTTTCCTGCTCCTTGAGTGTTTAATACCAAGCATTAGAAAATATACTATGAGAGTTTTTCTACAGGACCGACTTCAACCTTAAGGCGTCATTTTAGATTTGCCTCACACAATGGAAAGTGCAACAACTGTAGTTTCACTGTAAAAAAAGAAAAGTCAAAACTGAGGATACATTTACATAGTGTGGCTTAATATCCAACTGTACTATAATTGCCAAAAATATGTAGAAATGCGTATCAGTGTCAGGATTTAACCCTTTAGGCACCATAATAATAATAATAATTATTACTATCATTATTTTTAGTTTTTCATTCAATTTGATGTGAAACAGACAAGGGTGCATTCATGAAACTTCATCAGAGAAATAGAGGATTACTTCAATCAATAACTGAATTAAATAAAATACAAAAAATGTTAATGTAGGGAAACGTCGTTTGTGGCAAAGTCAATGTATAGAAAGTGTTCTAGAGGAGCTCACATAGTAGTTCTGCTACTTTGGGGCCTAAAGGGTTAAAAGCAACATTATTAGAATAAGAAAATTACATTTATATGAACTGCACAATCTTTATTATCCTTTCCTCGTTCGTGGTCTTTTCACAGCACTTAAAGGTGAGGTCTGCAACTTCCATCGGATTTTTGTTTGAAAGGAAAACATATTTTTGACCATAGGACCATAGGACCTTCATAATAAATATATTTGAATCAGTCCCTCCCCTCGCAGTCAGATCCCAGGCGTTTGGAAAACACACCTTATGAACACAGACAGGGTTTCTCCACAGAATAGTTTTACTTTGAACACAACGCATGACTTACTCAAACAGTTGAGGTGAGCACGGCAACACATTGAACCTGCTTGATTTGTTGTGCAAAACTGTACATACGTAGCTTATATATGGCTTATCTCCAACTGAACAAATTTCTTACGGGGTGCTCTCCTGTCAAATGTACATAGTTTACAGAAGATTATATGTGCGTGTGTGATTCTACACAGAGTACTTTAAAGGTGCACTTTGTCACTTTTCCCACGACACCTGTTTGCCTCCAAAGAGATGTGACTCTTCTTCTTTTGCATAGCCCTAAATCAGGACTTTACAAAGTTGTCATTTTCTCAACAACAGATCAGAGAATCAAACCGTTCGAGCACAAAAAATACACTAACAACCAAACATAGAAGCCATTGGTCCATAGGGAGCGTGATGACCAATGTTTATAAATGTCCTGTATCATCACTCTCTTTAGATCCTCCTGCATCGGCAAAGGAAGACAAAAACAAAACAGTGGGAAAATAAGTGACAAACCTCAGGGGGGCCCTCATTGAAAGAGGGATCCGCTCCCACAGACAGACAGGCTGTAGAACGAGGACTGAGGCTATGTGATGCAGGGCTGAGGAGGCTCCCAGTCCAGTCCAAAGAATGGAGGAGGCTGGTTTCAGGGGTCCCATCATCACACCATGAAACAGACAATGGGACAGCGGGTGAATAGCAATGAAAAGAAAAGTTATAGTTCTGTAGTCCGTGAATTAAAACAACATCAAGTGGTGTGGGGGCGGTCGAGGAGCACGAAACAGTCTCGAAAACAACTTTATACAACAAGAGAAAACAAAATCACGGTCAAAAGTTGTGAAAAGTTGATTTAGCGTGTTACGTCCTCTTTAACGACCAGTAACAATATGAATACAAGACGTGTAAGCCAAAGCGTGGAAACATTTTGGCGATGTGCTTTGCAACTCAGTTACACAGTTCACCTTTAATACGCGTGTGTGTGTTCGCTTGACTGACTGTGTGAAGGCTGCGCGAGGGAAAGAGTGAGTTTTTACTGTTGGTGGCCACGGTGTGTTTGTGTATGCGCCCCGTGCCAGCCTAACAACCAGCAAAACACAGAGGATACATGAGGCCTTGACCCTGGACCGAGCTGGGTCCCAGTTCTGGCTCCAGTTCTGGCTCTGGCTCTGGCTCTGCTGGGGGGCACACTGCTGCCTCTGGAGCTGCTTTAGGGGGGTAGCATGGAGGGCCAAGGCTGTTGGTTTATCTCAGAGCGCAAATACGTTGTTATCACAAGTTTGCCGAATGGAGAAACTTCACACGCGAAATCCATGTTGCCTGTATTTAAGATTGCTACAGCGAGTTTAAAGCTGGGTGTTATCAAGAATATGTAATCGTTGCTGTACATACTAGGCCCAAACCAATAGATATAAAAGAGGACATTTAATGACACTGAATTGTAACAAAATACATACAGACATAACAGAAAATATCATACCCCAAGGAGAGATGGTTGGAGAGAGAGAGAGAACCCTGGAGGCTCTGGGCCTCAGTATTAGGCAGAGTTGACACCGATCAAGAGCCCAAACTAGTCCATCCCAGCTATGTATATACTGGCTGTGAGGTTACTGCCAGGTTCCACTGGATTGGTCAGAGGGGTCAGCCAGAAGCAAGCCATCCCCGATGGAGGGGTGACATGGTCATCAGATAATGGGGAAAATCCATACCAACACAGGGGTACCTAATTTTAAACCACTAACATGGAACTGTGTATTCTCAAAATGGTTCTATCGCTGGTTTTCACATGCATGTATCGTGTTTGCCTCTGTCACATCAGCTTTTTCAGACAGAAAAGTGACAAAGAGAGGACCTCCCTCACTCAGCCAATCAGCTCTCAGCCCCACATGGTCTGACAGCATAAGTTACACATTACTTTTACAATATTCTAGCTGTTGAGACAAAAGAAAGCGTGTTATATTTGAAACAAAATAAAAGTTAGGTACCCCAGCTTCAAGGTAGGACTCTGCAGAGATGACAAATGTAAAGCAAACACATTATTTGACAAATAATGTGTAGTTCTTTGTCGGGAAGAACTACTGTTTCCACTGTGGTTGCAGAATAAATAAAGTGCCTTAGACATTATGATTACTCTGTTGTGATCTATTTGTATCTTTAAAAATGCTGTTTTTTGATGCAGCTGTTTTTTGAAGTTGTTTTTATAGAGACATACAACATATCTGATAAGCTTATTTGATGCCTTACTGATTATATAATGGTATCTTGACATGTCCAGTCATGACAATGGCTTTGTCAATATTCACACCAAAAGGATTTATTCACTTTTCTATCGGAACAAAGTGCTTATTTTTATCTGTATTTTAACGAACACAAATTGTCATATTAAATAAACTACTTTAAATACGTGTAAAACTCCTTCTTATGTGTGTTCTTTCTTTGTGGGAGGGGCCTGGGGTGTTGTGGGTATGAGGTTATACAGCACAAAACACTGCCACGCCCGAAATTCTCCACAGAGCTGCAGGTGGACTGTCACCTCCAAACTTTAAATGATATCACTGGACTTTTGCACTGCGGCCTGTGTCCTTGGTTTGATGGTTCTGTTTAGGTCTTGGCAATCTTTAGTTGTGTGTAGCGTGTTTGTAGAGTGAGTGTGAAGAAATGGTTTTTTGTTTTTGTTTTTTAAACATGCATAATTTAATTGAAAATCAAATTAACTACTCACTGTATTGTTAACCGTACTTCTTTTAGGTCGGCTCATATACATCTAATTATTACATGTGTACATTTCAAGACCAGGTATTTGCCCTAGCCGAAACAAAAGTCCTTTTTTACTGCCTGCACTGTACCCTGTTTATCATTGGTTCTCAACTGGAAGGATGTCAAAAATTATCAACACAAGGCGCCAAGCTGCGACCCAATAAGAATTAGTTTATAAACAATGTAAAATACCATGTAATTTCACAAATAATTTTTGGTACGCATCGAATAATATTACAAAATTACAACAAACAATTTAAACTTCAAGGGAATCAAGAAAATAGATTCCTTTTTTGTTGAATAAAGTAGGTATTATCTCATTTTTTGTGGATTTAAAAAGTTTATTTAAAATATATTTGATATAAAAACGTATACATATTGAGGGGGCATTCTACTTTTTTATTTATTACATATAAAACATAAAAAAAAATAAAAAAAATTACATTATTACATATAAAACGTGGGCGACAGTAGCTCAGTTGGTAGAGCATTGGCCTTAAGGCCAGAAGGTCATGGGTTCAATTCCCACCTCTGCACCTTCTCCACCAACTCCCACTGATGACTGCTGTCGTTGTGTCCTTGGGCAAGACACTTAACCCCACTTTGCCCAAAAAGCCCCCACTGAGAGATCAAGGCTATGCTCACACTCAGAGAGCAGCCGTCCTCCTGTGGACTCACCACCTGCAGAGGGTCAGTGAGGGGCTGGTGCTATGAGACTTGGGTGGCATCTCTGACTGCCACCCCCCTGACCCAGATATGGATTAAAGGGTCGAAAATGGATGGATGGATGGACATATAAAACATAGAGATATTTTTCTTCTCTTCATTTTCAGATTTCTATCTTTTTTGCATAAATGAAAAATACACTCACACAAAAATCCAACAAAATACATATTTTACTTTGTTATTTTTATTTTGTTTACAGTGTTGTAAATACATCTTTCTTGAGTGATTCTATCCATGCCAGATGTGACATGTAAGATTCTCCTGTGTGAGATCACTAAAGTCTATCCTATCCTATCCTAAAAAATATTTCCCAGGAAAATCTCAACCCATTAAAATGTCTTGATCTGATCTGCTTTTGGATCCCAACCCCCCAATTGAGACCCACTGCTTTAAATGGATGCGTTTTAAAGTGGTTTTGTTGTCACACATATCACCAACAGGAAGTCGTAAACAGCCAATCCAATAGCGGGCTACAAAACACGTCTACCTGCCTGTGTTGCCATAGGACATTATTGCTTTGCTGGTAGTTGTCACAGTCTGCTGCTCGGACCAGCACTTGGGGGTGATTTTATCTTAGTATAACCATGACAAATGCAGTGTACATAATACCCTCCCCTATCCATCACATTTAAAAAGCTCTGCGGGGGAAACACTTATACACCTCCGTTGACTCAATGTGAGCTTAGGGACAGGCGTGTAGCTGCACATTGGACGCTTAAATTGGATGGGAGCGGTTTTATGGTGAGCTGTTTCTCAATCTTCTCTTCTCCCATCTTACCCAGCTTTAGTCAGAGCCCTGAGATGATCCATGATGTGTCATTGTTCCCCCTAACCCCATCCGGACCCTTGTTTTTTGCTGTCCGAGAGCCATCCAATACTGCTTACTCACCATGTCCCAACACTGTGTCCCCTGTTCCAGCGGGGAATATTCCGATCATTATAATCTCCCCCCATTAATCAGAATTATGCTCATTACACAGAGCTGAATTGTGCTTAAAAACGAACTACAGTACTGTAAGTTGTGTAACCTAATTATGCAATATGGGACATCTGTTTTTCATTGTTGGTTTTGTTTTTGAGTCGGACAGAGCCGTTGCTGAGTCAGTTTGGAGGAGAACGTGGATTGGGTCGACACCAAACGAGGGTCTGAAAATGATGAATGAAGAAATGTGAGGAGAGGAAAGCGGCTACTATTTGTCGGTGATTTTGCGAGTGAAGACATTTAGAAGCGTAGCCACTTTCCACAGGGTTTCCACTGTCGACAGGCACTTTTGTTACACACAATGCCAGAAGGGGTTATCCTCCTTATTACAGTCAATAGGCTTTTCTGAAAGACAATGGGCACTGGGTGAGTTCACATTTGCAGATTAATTGGCTACATTTGTCACTCAATCAGGACTGGATCAGGACTAAAACTGGTCAAAATCACGGCCTGTTCAACTTGCGTCCCAGGGGCCAAGTCAGGTCCGCCAAGCCATCAGAGCCGGTCCATCCAGTACAAAATAACAGATCCTTTATTCGTCCCACAGTGGGGAAGTTTGTTTTGCAATTTCAGTACAAAACGAGAATTACATTTACAAAGCATAACAGAATTTATCCGGTGTTGCTTCAAACCACTTTAAAGTCTTGTGTCCATGTGCCCCGCTGGAGATGGAGCCTTGTGATGCTTTCAAAGATGCCTTGTAACTTTTTCTTACTTAGGATCAGTAGTTCTAAATGCAATTATTGTCATATACAGCTGCACTTTTTTGGAAAATCTAATCACGCAGCATGTGATTACTTTGAGCATTTGCTTTTCACACAGACTCAACTGCAGCAACATAAATTCTGTAATATCTGCAGTGTAATTTAACGCACCATGATTTCTGCTTTTGCCGCAAGTGACAAAACAAAAACAAAACAATGAAACGTATACAGAGCGACTGCACTTCATCACACAGATAGAAATGAGTGAATCGCCTTCGTCCAAACATATATATTTGTAATACAAGCATGGCTTTTCTCTGTGTTCCTAAAAGCATCGGCTGGCCTTGTCTCAGTAGGACCCAAACGATTTGATCCAGTTATTCCAAACCAACTGTTTTTTCACACCTTGATGGGCGTGACAGAGTTCACATGTGCATGTGGTGAGCGAGTGGTGCACCGTTTCCAGATTTTCCGTGCTAGCATGAAACGCATTTTTAACCCGTACATGTTAAAAACTCGGATAAATCAGGTGAGTTACCCAGCCTGCCTTCGCCTTCAACCGAGAGATCGCCATTGAAAGGGAGATTTATGCGAATTACGGTGAGTCAACAAACTAGCATGTTGCATTATTTCTGTTCATTTTGGCCCTTAAACTTGAGAATATCTACTTTGACACTTTAAATCACACTCTCAAGTTGCAAAACACCTGACACATATTGGTTGCCTCACTTCTGAGCTCCAGGGCAGCTGTGGCTTGTGGTAGTTTATCACCAGCGTGTACGAAGTGGATGAATAATGAATGTGAAGCATCTCTGAGTGACCAAAACAGCGCTATATAAATAAACAGATCCATTGTTGAAACCGTTGAGAATATTAATTGGAATGGAAACGGACCACAAACAGCCCAACTATACACTTTTTTCTAAACTCAACTTGACATAACGTGTTACAATAAAAAAAATAGACATGCTTTCAATGCAGAGGAGCAGCGGCGCTAATCCAAGCTCCTCCAACCTCCCTGCCGACCAACACGCTCCCAGTTTTCGCAGCCGTTTCTTTTTTACGAAGTGACATGAAATAACAGCATGAATTCTGCCCCTTTCGTCTCACGCTGTTCATTTCAAATCTCATTAAAGCGAACATATTACACTTTTTATACGCTCGTAACCGTAAAATATAGGCTTACATATTCCAAACCATGACTCTTGGCGATTTACAACCTCGCTTAATCCCCTTTGAAGCCCGACCCACGTTCTCCGTTTCGTGCTTTGCCTTCGCGTCCGTCATCGCAGAGGCCACGCAGAGGTGACAAAGCACTTATTTTTACTGGAACGCCACCTGCCTTTGGAAAAAAACGGTCGGTGTGAAGTCACTTGTTAGCACTGGCAGTATAAGTGGCATGTGTACGAGGGTGGCAAACCGCGCCGTGAACTGCTGCCGTTATTTTGTTTTTTCACCTTCGGTTTGGGTCACACAGGAACGAGTCGGGACCAGTGAAAAGGCCCTGTGAGCGGGTGCCAGGCAGTAAACAGGACTCCACCAACGCCGCCGTTTGGAAAAGCTGTCAGTCGGTGTGAAAAATGACTCCTGGAGAGCTCCATACCTGTGTGATTGCATCGGCTAATTACAGTGAGGCTGCGCGAGACGAGCCCGCGGGGGCAGGGCTGTAATTATATCAGCACAATTAATAGTTTGGCTGTCGAGAGAGAGAGGTCTGTGCGGTACGCTGGCGGAGGAACACTGTTTGAAAACCCTTTGAATGTGTCTTAATTACAAAGACAAACATGATGTACGCAGATCGTGACCGCGAGCTGAACCGTAAACCACACTTATCGGCCGCCGGTACGAGTCCGGCACAAGCAAAATATGATTCGTCGCCTTTTCTTTCAGTAGTATTTATAGATAGATGGATAGATATAGAAACAAAAAATAAATACATCATTCTAAACAATAGCAATAAAATGTTGTTTGCAAAATAAAGCATTGACACAAATACGATATGATGATGGTAATAATGGTAATAATAATAATAATAATAATAATAATAATAATGATGATGATAGTAATAATAATAATAATAATAATAATAATAATAATAATAAATGTATGTGTCATCAGAAAAATATTCATGTTCACATTATCTCATAAAATCTTCTCAAAGAATAATAATGACAATACGATGGAACTGTAGCTGTTTTTGAAGGTGTTTAGTGAGGTTTAGTGAGTGCGGACGAAAAGTCATTTCCTGTGTTAGAATGTGAAATAATGTTTAAATAAAAGTCACTAAACTGAACAGTTCTCTTGATAGATTTTATCAAGGTAAACCAACACGAAGAATGAAATAAATTGTGTTTTTACTTAACTTCATAAATTAAATCCATTATTTTATTTCTTAGAGTGAGTCTCTGTTGTTTTCTATGTCCTCGTTCAGAACGTCCATGATGCAACACTGCAGTCTCCGCATGTTCCCAGTGTCCATGGTGTCTGCTCACATCTGCCCCCTCCCTCCCTCTACTCCTCTTCCTCTCCTCTTCCTTTCCTCTTACTCTCCTTCTTCGGCTCCTCTTCCTCTTCTCCCTCTACTCCTCTTCCTCTCCTCCTTCTGCTGCTCTTCCTTTCTTCCCTCTGCTGTTCTTCCTCCCTCCCTCTGCTCATCTCCCTCTACTCCTCTTCCTCTCCTCCTTCTGCTGCTCTTCCTTTCTTCCCTCTGCTGTTCTTCCTCCCTCCCTCTGCTCATCTCCCTCTCCTCCTCTTTCTCTCCTCCCTCTGCTGCTCTTCCTTTCCTCCCTCTGCTCTTCTTCCTCTACTCCCTCTGCTTCTCTCTCTCTCCTCCCTCTGCTCCTCTTCCTCTCCTCCCTCTGCTGCTCTTCCTTTGCTCCCTCTGATGCTCTTCCTTTCCTCCCTCTGCTCTTCTCCCTCTCCTCCCTCTTCATCTCCTCCCTCTGCTTCTCTCCCTCTTCTCCCTCTGCTCCTCTTCCTCTGTGGGGGGCTCAGGACCAAACAGGAGGCACTTTTGCACTGGACAAATCCTTTTCAGTTCCTGGTTTACTTTTTAGTTCTTGTTTTTTGGGTGTGTTCATACATAACCATAACTGAGGTTGTTTTTTTATTTTATCATTCTTAGATCAAGATTATCGAATGAAACGTAGTGATTCACAGTAGTAAATAGAACTAACTTACATATGAAGTTAAATTCCAATGTACTTGTATTTTATAAAAGATACACTTCAGTCCTCTTTCTGTGTGAATGCAGCCAAAGCAGCATCAGGTTCTTCTAAATAGGAACTGGAGAGTATTACACAGAAGACAAGTCAAATATTGCTTGAATTATGTTAAATGTACCTCAATTTGTTTGCATTTTGTCTGTCTTTAAAAAATAATACGATTTGCCGATGAGACAAGCTCAATTTTCGTAGTTTTCAGGAAACAGGCAAAATTTTACTTAGAATAAATTCATAATATCTACTGTCATTAAAGGAAAGGTTCTATAAAAACTACACATTTCAAGAAAATACTCATATACGTGTGTTTTTACAGTGTAGGGACTAGTTATTGGTGCATTTGTACAAAAAACACCTCGATCTCCATAATCTGATCACATCTCTGCCTTCTCCACAAATTAAAACTTTTATTGTCAGCGGCTTCAGAGCCCGACAGAATCTGAAGAGTGAGTTTCTGATGAGGTTTGATGTGGACCGATTAACTCTGTGGTCTAAACATCTCAGCATCACGAGGTTCTTTTGGCCTGGCACAGGAACGTACTGAGCCGTCTGCGGGGTTCACCTGCACAGAAACATATTTAGTAACAGACGTATCGAGAGAAAACAAAGTAAAAACGTCAACTGCTACAGATATTTGGAACATCGGGAGCAAAATTTTGTTCATTTTGTCCGATCAGCTTTTCAAGAACATACAGCCTTTAGGTTTGAAAGTAGAAAAAAGTCAAAAGTCAAATAGTAAAAAACAGAATCAAAAGCAAACCTGTATTCATGATTGTAGTTCATATTTCATAAATGTGAAATTGAAAATGATTGTCAAAATATTCATAAGTCGCCACACAACGCTATCAATGGAAACTTGTGAAAAAGTACGTCTGCATGTAAAAATTTTGCAGAGAATACAGTTTGTGTATTGTATTGGCCTATTGAATAAAGACAACATGGAGAAAAAAAATTAAAGAAAGCAACCACCATGACAGGAATGACAGAAGGCAAGGCAAGGCAAGGCAAGTTTATTTGTATAGCACAATTCATACACAAGGCAATTCAAAGTGCTGAACAGAACAAGAAAGCATTAAAATCATAAATAATCACAGTACATAAAAAAAAAGATAAAAATATAAAATCCCTCAGTTGTATGCACAGCTAAACAGAACTGTTTTCAACCTTGTCTTAAACATTGTCAGAGAGGAGGCCTGTCTCACACACACAGAAGCAACAAAATTATATTAAATTAACCCTCAACCATTTGGTAGATCACCTTTTGAGTCACCATCTACTTTGGGCATTTTTACAACTGAAATCTACCTCTTTGGGCGCATCCCACTTGGTTTTAGACACTTTTACCATCAAACTGCATCTCAACCGTTTGGTAAAGGCCTATAATTAAAACAAATAGTGGTTAATAAAAAAAGGAAATACATAAAAACAAATGGTTTCTGTTATTAGTGTTCCTTAGCGCTCTTAGAGAATCCAAAAAAGAAAAAAATGAGGTTGCTCTCTTCAAGGGGTGAATGTTTCAGGATTATCAAACAAATGCGGAGAAAAAAAATGTATTTAAAAAACAAAGCCATAGTTTTAAGAAGGAGCTGCTGCAGTCAGATAACATTTTCTTTTTTACATGATCAAGAAAGCGGCAGGCAACAGATGTTTTTCTTCTTTCTCCTCATTCGTGTGTGACGGGACTAAAATCATTTGAAAAATAATTGTAACAAAAAAAAAAATCTAACTAAATTGAAATACTGTAAATCAATTTATGAACGATAAGAAACATGTTTATTTAAAGCAGCAGTGTAAACAAAGGCACACGGTTATTTCAATGATAACTTTCTAAATATTACTGGGAACAACATTAAAGGCTGTGTTAGAGGGAGGAGGGCGTGTCGTGGCAGAGGGGCACAGATGCTCCCGTTCTCCATGTCCCATAATGACTTTAGCTCCTCGGGCTGAACACACTTAGCACGGGGCCGTGGGGGACCGCAGCTGCCTCGCCCTCATCCATCCATGATCACACTCTGTAATCACATTTGCCCCGTGCTTTAAACCTGTGTGTCGCATGTTGCACTGAACAGAGGCAAAAAAACAACAGCGAAACCAGAACAGAAATGTCATGTTTGAAAGATTTGAATCAATACATGAAGCAATGAAATGCATATGTATAATCAGAGAGTGAAAATATAATGTCATCTTTTTTATGAGTGATAAACAGTATATCTGTTATTATTCTAAAATATATATATTCTAACTGTGTGTGAGACAGTCCACCAATTATTAAATTTTAAATAAGAACAGATTCAAACAAACATAAGTGAATTGTGGTTTGCTATATTTTTGATTCTATTAGACCTACATTCATTATTTAAATTATTTTTGAGCAGGAAAACATTTGCCTTACAATTAGTTTTGTCCATTTACAAGAAGCACACGTTGATGTATTTATATTATACAAGTGCTTCTAACTGTGATTTATGCAACAGAGAGGGAGGAATTAGACAAAAAATGGCTGATACTTTTTCTAATAATGAAAAAGTATTATCCACACCATTAACCCTATATAATAAAAGAATTTTAAAACATTTAAAGGATAATTTCTCAAAAATTGGTTTGTAGCAGACTGGTCTCAAGGGGATGCAGGCGAAAAATGTAAATAAAATGTATTGCCCTGTTTTGACATTTCTGGCCTTTATTGTTATTTCAAAAATGACAATACATTTTTGCACTTTTGACTGCCTCTGATCTGGCAACCTCTTCACAAACATAAAAATACTGGGAATGCAACAAATCTATGTCATTAGTTCTTGAAAACAGATTAATAGTTTTCACATGGATTTATTTTTGCCTCAGTCACATCTTTAGATCATCTTTTTCAGACAGAAAAGTGAAAAAGAGAAGACCCCCCTCACTCGGCCAATCAGCTCTCAGCCCAAACCATCAAATACTGACTCACGAGGCTATTTCTAACATGTATGCAAAATATACTATAGGTTTTTCTAATAAGATAAACGCCGCCAGTTGAGGTTTATATGACACACACTTATACGTTCTTCAAACACAGAATGTCAGAATCCTTTGCTGTAAGTGAAGTGATACCCAGTGCATTCCAGCCTGTAACATATTGATATGTTACAGGCTGATACTGATATCATTAAATAAAGTATGTGGAATTGCAGTTTTTTAGCGACGGAGCTGAGGATAAGATCTGTGGTGTTGGGAAGAGCTCCGCACACACTGGATCTCAACAGAATTCCAAAAATGCCCGACCGCCGCCAACCGCCCCTCAGCCCTGAGCACCGCTCTGGACCGCCTTATCTGTCAGTATTGTTCTCCAAAGACTAAACACTTTGAATGAAACCGCTCTGCAGGTGGGATTTTCACACAGCTGGCTCAGAAATACTCTTTAGTGATGGGGTTTCAGATCAAATATTCTTTTTATCCGATATGTTTGTGCAAAAACGTTACAATAGATTCTAGATAAGTGAATGTAATGTATTTTTTTATAGACATGGAAATCAACATTATGATGAATTGGTCCTTAATCTGTTATTCTCCATAGAGTAAGTATGTTTGTTGTGCTTATATTTAGTTATAGTGTATTTTTATTGCAAAAAATATATAAAAAACATGCATCAAAGTGAGAGCTTGCCTCTTCACAGCTCTGACGTGTCCATTACCTGCCAGGGGCCACTTGCTTGTCTCCATATAAAGTACAGTTGGTATTCTGTGGATGGAAGCTAAACATTGCATCTTTAAAGAGAGGTGATTAAAGCTGGGGTACCTAAAAAGTAAACTGGGACTGTGCATAATCTAAAAATGATGCCTCAAGTCTTATGATGAGAAATAGGAGTGGTTCATTAACGTTCTGTCGGTACGTCTGGGTAATCACAATGACAATTACAGCTAGCTAAGAAACATGCAGCTACTTATATACTATACTGTATATTTGATGTGCTCCTTGTGTTCTCTTACTACTGCCCTGTATGTGCGCTGCAACATTGACATTTCTCCACTGTGGGATGAATAAAGGTTCTCTTATTTTATCTTAATGTTATGGGGTGCATGAGATAATTGTTTATTTTATACATTTGTTGTATATATTTCTTTCATTATTCTTTGGAGAGAAGAAAAAAGCAATAAATATGTCTCTCCTGCTTCATGTGATGGTTGTGTAATTCTGTCAGAGTTTTAATGTGGAATTGTATGAAGTTAAGTCAAATCAAGTCATAAAACATGGATTTCATGGGATTCATGAGGGCAGTTTGTTTTGATGGAAAAATGTCCGTAACGAATAATGGACATTTTGAGGTATTAAAAATAATTGCCACGTTCATATAGAGGGCTGTAACTTCAAATCCATGTCACTAGTTTCTGGCTCCAACACAGTTTCATTGTTTTCAAATTATTTTTTAAGGACCACTCTCACTTAGACAATCAGCTCACAGCCCAAAGCATCAACCAATGACTCACCTGGCTCTTTCATTCAAGGATGCACAAGATGTTTTTGAATAAGAGAGAGACAACATTTTGTAATCCGAGTCGTTCACAACATTTTACTTTTAAAATATCCAAAAATAATATTATTTAGGAAAAAGTTCGGTACCCCAGCTTTAATGTTTGACACGTTAGACTACTGAATAAAAACTATTAGTTCCACGTATTCTGGTCATGGGTCTCAGCATTCTAAGGACAATTTTCCAAACTCAAAAGACAAGATTTTTGTGTAATTTTTTTCACGCACTATGGCAGCAGTGGTCATTATTCTTAATTCTTAAAAATCCATGAATAGGCGGAGTAATTAATCATTCGGCCCCAGCTAAAGCCTGACATCTAGCGGACACATAACGTAAGTACAACTCCACCATCGCCCCAAAGCCACACCTTGATCTGGCACATGAATATTTTATGCATTTGAAATCCGAGCGCCTCTCTCATCCTGCTGTAATCTTAGTTTTGCACTAGAAATATGATATTAAATCATGCCTAAATGTGCACCTCATTGCAAAGCTTAATAATAGACAATCATTTCCAAGCTACAATCGAACATACTGTGTGTGGTAGCAAATATGGTTTCTTTGCAGTGTGAATAGAGGCAATGCAGCACAGCGGCATCAAAATCCTTTTATAGAAGCTGTTTTTATGGAAGCAAAGGGAGGGGTCTGGGGGCAGGATGATCAAAAGTGTGTCAAATAACAGGAGGGGTGGGGCAAGACAACCAACCAGCACATGCACAATTCAACACATACACATATAGATATGATTCATTGATAACGTAAACCAAACCATTAATACACTTCTATTATGTATACTTTTTTTAATTAAAGAAATGCGTTGTGTTCAATGTTTTAAGGACATGATACATAGACACAATGTTATTTTTGCCTATAAAAGACCCATTCCCTTTTTCACTTGTGGAGTGTGTTCCTTGTGAATGAGTTGTGTCCTCGTGTGTGTAGAACTGTTGATAATAGTAACTGTGGCTGATCAAAAAATGAATGAATTAAGCACAGCGCTGTAATGACTCGATGGTCCAGCAGGTGGCGCAGTCTTCTCATTGGTGTGACATGCTCCCATCTATAGATCCATGCTCTGAACTCAGACACTTTTTGGGACACTGTTTTCAGCACACCTACAGTTGACCTATGCTGTTAAATGTCCAGGTAGTTCAGGTGTATTCACCTGTGCGTGAGCAGAAACATCAGTGTCACGTGTCACCTCTGAAGATGGACATTTGGAACAAAGTCAGTTTGAACAACTGTGTAAATGTGCGCAGGCTCTCACTGACTGAGCCTAAGTGTTTTCTGGTGACTTGAATAATCAGCTATAGAGCAGACAAAGGCGCCTGTGTCTGCGTGTGCGCGTGTACGTGTGTATACTTGTTTGAGTGTGTGTGCATACGTGTGTATGCGTGTGTGTACGTGCGCGTGTGTGTTGTACGTGCGTGTGCATGTGTGTGTGTAGCTCCATCCTTCCTGCTGGTGGGAGGTTTGAGATGCGCTGCGCACAGTCCGTCCGCTAGCGACGCATCCTGGCCTGGCCCTCTCCCTCTCCCTCTCCTCTGTGGCGCCTACATCCATGCTCCGCGGCTAGCCGCTGTGGAAGAGCCGCTGTGGAAGAGCCAAAGCCCGGGGGCTGGTATGCTGCGGTGAAGGCCGCTGATCGGTGCTGTTTTCAGGGGATGTAGACGCGGACACAGGCAGCACTCGCCTCGGCCCGTGTCTGCTCTGCAGCCTCTGCATCACGGAGCGGCCTGCGGAACACAAACATGTCCACCAGAACGCCATTACCCACGGTGAACGAGCGGGACACCGAGAATGTGAGTATGTGTGGGGACAGCGTGTGGAGGGCCGGGGACACGGAGCACACGGAGGAAACCGAGGACATGAGACATGATGTGCGCTAGCTAGCCTCGGAGCGGCTTTACCGCTGAGCCCAGTGCTACAGCCCTGTTTGTGTGTCTGAGTCTGTTTGTGTGTCTGGGTCTCCGCCCGGGTCCTGGCCCAGGTCTTAGGCGGACTACAGCTCGGTGCCCGGGAGCAGACTTGACCCGGGTCTGTCCGGTTCTGCCCCGGTCCCGGCTGCACCACGGGCTAACGTCCGCACGCATTGCGTCACCTTAATGACACGCGCCACTGTTGGTGAAAGAAAGATTATGTGCTTATGTCCTGCAGGAACTCAGGGACACAGGGACTCAGGGACACAGGGACACAGGTCTGTGGTGTCTGTGGTTCACAGCGTCAATATTTCGGCAGGGACAGGGTGGGGGATGCTGCCCTACTTTCAATGCGCCTAGTTGCATCGCAATGTGACATCCATCACCTATTGGGCCTTGTGCTAAAGCACTATAGTCTGTTGTTCAGCGGAGGAGGTGTATTCTAATGCTGCCACGGCTCTGAATACAGCTAACATTACTTACTTGTCATGGCCAAGAAAGGCCTGGTCCAAACGGTCTGGTCACTTCCATTCCCGTGCAAAGGAATGTGTGTGTGAGAATGTGGAGGACACCGCTGGTCATCGTCAGCCTGTGGCTGTGGCTGGAGGCTCCTCACGGATCAGCACCGCTGCTCTGACAGGCTCTGACACATCTAGGTTTCCCTTGTTTTCCTGGAAACAAGACACAGAGGCACAGTCTGGGCTCAATGTTATTGTGTTACAGCACAGTGCAAAGCTCTGCTCTTTATTCAGAACAGATTTGTAAGGTTCTAACAGAAGGCACAGGGTGTCTTTGTAATATGCTGTAACAGTGAAGAACATAAGGAAATGTAGTCAAATGTAGAATTGAGCCTACTACTGTTTTGAAAAGCCTGTGAGGTTTTGTCTTGTCCTTCCTCCAGATTGGAGCAGAGTTTGAGATGAGTGTTTGCCTCCTGTATGTGAGAGTAGTTCTGTCCTGTAGTGTGCTGGGATAGAGAGAGACAGACCGCCAGGTTAGTAAAGCTGGGCTCAGCACATGGAACTACCATCCTGTTGTCTATATTTGACTGCAGGCCCCAGGGCCCACCAGCAGCAGGACTGCATTGCATAACGAGTATTACTCAGAAAGACAAGTAGCTTGCTTTTAGTACCACTTTTCTCCTCTTCCATGTGTGTCTGATTTTAGACTCTGATGAGATTACGGATTCTCATTGTGAGACCTGTGTTGTTTTGCCATTCTTGACAATTCTGTCTACACTCTACCCTTTTGTTTATAACGATCAGCTATCCTTATGTTATAATATCAGGAAGATTTGTTTTTAATTGTTTTTACTCCTCTATTGTAATCATTTGTTGTGTTTAAAGTTTCAGGTCAAGCACACCCAACAAAAGCCCCTTTGAACAGGTTGTCACATAATGAGTCACTTGCCCAGGTACTGGGTCATGCAGCAAGTCAAGATGTGAGCAGTGATACAATCACAGATACATAAATCTTTGTTTGTCTCAATTTCTCTGGTTCTCACCGACGTGCAGTGAGCCAGGGTGATGCTGGTCCTGCAGGGTGTAGCGTTTCCCCAGTGAAACGGGAGCACAGAGTCCTGGGTAACAGGACCAAGGCTTTATTCTGTGAGTGGGTGTGGTGCTGGAGCAAAGGCTCATGGGATGTCTGTCTTGGACTGACTCCCCCCTGTTCGTGGGGAAGAGATAGACACTACTTCTTCTACTAGTACTACTACTACTACTACTACTACTACTACTATTACATAAGGATACATGCAGACAGAAAAGTGAAAAAGAGAGGACCACCCTCACCCAGTCACTCACCTCTCAGCCTAAAGCCTCAAACAGTGAATCACAGAGCATAAGCTAAAGATGAAATGTTTTCTAATTGGCTGGAGAGTGTGGTCTCATTTGTTCACAACATTTTACTTTTACAAGACTTAATGACTGATTACCACCTTTACATTGACTTGCTATTGAATGCTAATTCCTAAATAATGATACTCCAACCATTCAGTCATATTCAGCCTTTTACTTGTGGTTTTCTTACCCTCTGACATGTGAGCTCTGTCTATATTCTCTGCTCATTGTCACTCTCCTCTCAGGACACATACATGAAGAGCACTTACTTTCATTTGTTATCTAATCTTTCACCGTGGCTAAGGTCTCTGGGTTAAGAGGTTAAGTTGTCAGAGACGAGGGAGTCTGCGCTTCAATTTGGCCATTATGATTTTGAATGTGGAAAGTCCCGTGTGAATTCAATACCAGAAAAATTGCCGTAAGCTGATCATTCAGAAACACATCCCACCAAATAGTTCATGCAGCAAAATTCCAATCTACCAATCCACCATTCCAAGGCCTGTTACGCAGAGTATAAACCAGTCTAAAATCAAAGCAAAGCAAGGACTAACTGAAACACTAACACTGCACTATTGGAGCATAACTGCAGAAGAAGACCACGACTATTTTTGACCAGCGGTGGGACGTGGATCGCACGTTGAGAACCACTCCACTAAGCCTTTATTCTATAGTCTGGTCTCCTTGTCTTGGCAGCATTGCCTCACTGCACCACACTGCTGCATTGTTGGTGAATGTATAGTGAACTCTCTCCAGATGCAGATCACAGAATTACAAAGATCTATTCTATCCTAGTTATTGTAAACCCTCAGCATACTCATGTTTACTTACACTTTTGCTTTCAGGATTTAGAGCTGAATTGTACAGATGTGTTTACTGCAACTTTTGACTTGTCTGCTGTATTATTTCTCCGCTTGTCTACTTAGAACACATGTATGAAATAGAATTCACACATTGGAGAAATGTTCCATCGATTGTGTTAAGGGTGCGTTCACTCAATTCACATGAAAAGGACCGGTTCATTCATCCATCTGTTTTCCTCCACTTTACCCGTTGCCGGGTGGCGAGGGCAGAAGTCTAAGCAGAGACGCCCAGACTTCCCCCTCTACACACCTCCTCCAGCTAATCCAGGGGAATCCCGAAGGGTTCCTAAACAAGCTGAGAGGCATAGGACCACAAGTGATTCTGCTTCATTGATGTAGCATTTTCTTTTGAAATTGAATCTAGTAGAACAGTAAGTGTGTATTCAGACCCAGTGATTTCAAAAGGCTTTTTAAGTGGAAAAGTTTAGACAAAAAACAAGAAAAGATCAGAACGTGGATTCCTCATACCTCAGTGGTATCTAATTATTTGTTGACATTTTTAGTAGATTTTATAAGCACAATGTAACTCCAAACAAGACTCACCAAAATTCCCTTTTTTTAGCGTTGATATTATCGTGTTGAGGTAGGGCTGGGCGATAAAACGATAACGATATATATCGCGATAGACATGTGTTCGATATCAATAGAGAATGGGGTCGATAGAATGTTCGATAGTTTAGCTTAACTCCGTCAGGAAAAACAGGAAGAAAACACCGGAAGTAAAGCCGACTCATAAGCGCATGGCATTGTGGGGGATGTAGGCGGAGGCTTCTCGACCAATAACAGCCGAGCAGGAACCGCAAAACTTTGTGGGAAATGCAAAAACACCAACAACCGCAGCATGCGTAGCGTCCATGGATCTATAGCTCGTGTTTCAATGCCGTGTCAATGGTTATGCACGTACGTGCGCGGAATAACATGTGCGGCGGCAGAGGCAGTGGACAGACACCATGTATTCGGCAAAAGCAAGAGATTAACTTTTTCCTCGGGAAGCATGTGCGGCACAGAGAGCCGCACGGAGCGGCCACGGGGACACAAGACCCTCAAACAGCTAAACCAGGAGCTAAACCAGGAATAAAAAACCAGGATTAAACCAGGACTAACAACGAGGGACACAGTGTGAACATATTCCTCCAGCCTCATCGCCCCGTGACTGTAAACAAGGCTGCTAAGGTTGGTTAGCCCACACGACAAATATATATATTTAGGTTAAAAAAAAAAACTCAATATATATCGTTATCGACCGATATGAATGACTTATATCGTGATATAGTTTTCAGCCATATCGCCCAGCCCTATGTTGAGGCTCCGCTCCCATGGATGACGGGCTTTGGATCCTGGACTCAGTAGTAGAACTCTTGTAGAACGAGGACTGAGGCTGTGCAGAACATCTTCAGAGTTGTCACAAAACATTATTCACTTATGCTTGAGACAGTGTCCCCCCTGGCACTTCTGAGCACCAAAACATGCTCCATGTTTACTTACTAACTTTGTTTGCAGATGGTCTTTTCTGAAACTCTAATATGTAAAATATGCATGTTTGCTTGCCTGTGGTGTAGCGGAGTAGTACTCGAGAAGGCCAGATGGCTTGGACATTATTTGTGACTGCACGTTGATGACTTACTCACTGCTATCTGCTAACTGCTAACGTTCCCTTCTTCTCAGCATTCATCGGTGGATGGTTTTGCGGAGCCTCCGGTCCCGCCCACCAAGTCGGCGAGTCGCCACAGCCTGCCGCGATGCCGCAACTCCTTCACCTCCACCGAGGAGCACCCTCACATCGGCAACTACCGCCTGCTCAAGACCATCGGCAAGGGCAACTTCGCCAAAGTCAAGCTGGCCAGGCACGTCCTGACCGGCCGAGAGGTGAGTCACTACCAATCCAGACCTCTCGCCAACGTCTTCAGTTGTTGCTGAGAAGCTTTCCTTTTATGACAAGAAAAAACATTTACTTGATGATTTAATGACTTATCACTGCAATATACAGTTTTATCTATTGATCTTATACCAATACATATGTCTTTGCTCTAAAGTATATAGGTTTATAGTTAGTGTGTTTTTTATACTTTGTTTCTTTTATTAAGATATTTATATTTTATTTCTTTATTATTGTGCTTTACATAAAGATATATAGGAGGATTTCCCCAAATTTTAGGAAAGAACCGGCCACTCTCTGGACTTATTTGATGAGCTCTTAACACCAGAATGATTGACAATTGGGAGGACCAATAGTCTTGATGATCCACCCGGAACTTGAAAATTATCCTATATACTTACGTACTGTATACCGTTAATATTCACTTACCTTCGTGGTGTGCTCCTCATTCCTACTGCTCTGTAACCTGTGATGCAACAATGACATTTCCCCACTGTGGGACGAATGAAGGATCTATTGTTGTTACATAGTTCTTATGTTTGCCCTAGAGCAGATATGTTGTGACAGTAGCTTGTTGTACAGAGTGTGGTCCTTTGACGGCGTTTTGTATCTAAACCTTAAGACAATCAGAATTACTTGGTTATTATAGCTTGCAAACCGTTCAACTGTGTTTGTAAGTCACGAATAAGCGGTTATTAAGTCATTGTGAATAATTATGATGTAAGAAAGGGACAGACAGATAAGCCTAGACCTTTTCATACTGTTTAAAATGCTCATATGTTTTTGACAAGTACAAAAATACAGGGGTTTTAAAACTGTATGTCTCCATGATGACAACCAGGGGATCTGTGGATTTAGATCTGTGGAAATTGACACTGTGGGCTATAAAACATCAAAGAGCCAAAACTGAAGGAAGTTTAAAGTCGTAGCACTGTGGATCATTCTAAGAAAAGTAATAAAGTTGCTCAGTGCACCTGTCTGTGCCCAGGGGCCCCATGCTCCTGACTCTCCTGGTGATTTCAACTCCCAACTCACTTTGCTGTTCATTCACTAGTATTGGATTTATTAAAATAAGATAAGATTAGATACGATAAACCTTTATTAGTCTCACAGTGGAGAAATTTCAGTGTCATCGTTGCGCACATTACAGCAGAGAGAGGAAATAAGAGCACTCAGATTGCACACATTAATTGTGTGCATTAATTGTATTAATATTCAGGTATTTGGTTTGACTCACAAGCTGTAGATGATGTTTATGGAGGTTTGACACAGTGACTAGCATGAGTTGGAGGTTTAAATGGCACATTATTCAAGTTGGGCCCCTAACTTTAAAACCACTGCATTTAGAGCTATGCAATATAATCTACTTTACCTATATCTCTCAAAACAGTTGTGTTCCATCTATAGTCTATATATTCACCCTCTGGCCTCTGTCAGATCTCAGCTTTTTCAAACAGAAAAGTGAAAAAGAGAGGACCCCTCATGCAGCCAATCAGCTCTCTATCCAAAGGGTCAAATAGTGACTCACAAGGCTTTTTCTTACAGGTGTCTGTGCAAACGATTATGTTCCAATAAGATGGTCTGATTTGTTCACAAACTTGTACTTTTACAAGGGGCTTTCTGTTAGGACAAATGGCATGTCTTATTATTATTATTGTTTTAAGATAAATAATTAATTGAATTTGTTGTTAGTTCAAAAGAGGCAAAGTGAAATACCTGCTCTCACATTTCCAAACCCTAAAAATGAGTAACTTCTGCTATTTGTACCTGGTCAGGCTGGATGGTCATGTTGCTCTCCTCTGGTCCTCACATCAGCTGGTGTTGCCCTGGCTGTGTGATGGACGTGCGCTTCCTGGTGCGTCTGTAATTAAAGCCTTCTGTCCCTCAGGAGAAAACATGGTCCTGTGATCTGTGTTGTGTCTCCAGCAGGCCACACACTGCCCTCTGACAGCTCCCATCCCTCACCTATGCTTGTGTATGTGCCAATACGCCTTCACAGGGCTACACTCATGTTTTTTTAGCTATAGATGAACGAGCCCATGAACTGGGCTTGTTCTTGTTTTAGTTCCACGCTGATCAGTGGTGCACTTACTGTACAAGACCCAGATGTACTTTCCCAAATGCCTCTCTTGTGCTAATGTTTGGGATGTCCATGGTGCGAGCATGAGCCGATGAGCACTGGCCATTGATTTGAATGGACAGACATCTTGGAGACCTGGGGCCTGGCCTTGCCTTACAAGCACTTGTAATGTGGTGATTTATGATCCATGGTTCAGTGGTATTCAAAATAATAAAGTATCAATGCTGTGAGGATGAGCTTTTGACTGTGGACTACGTTCATTATATGCAATGCAGAGCTGCTAAAAGTCCCGAAGTAAAATTATTTGTTTGATAATACACTATGGGTCAATCACTGGGGATTCAAACTTATCCGACCTGAATTTTAAAGGTGATGTCTGCAACTTAATTTATATCTCGTTTAGAAAAGAATACATAATGCTTTGCTCCGGTGCTGGCTCTGATAGAAAACCTACCGGTTTGGACACCCCTGCATTAGATGGATTTGTGGTTTCAAAGTTGGGTACCATACTTTTACATTGAACTTGTTCAATTGGCAAAACAATATCAAGATGTTATATAGTGTGTATCTATAGACACACACTCTATATACAACGCTGACCCACTAGCTCAACGAAGCCCAATAGGAAAGTGCTCAAGGACAAAGTTTTGCTCAAACTCACTTTGGCTCCTTTTGACTTTCATTGAAAAGTAAACTCCTCTAGCTCAGTTTATGTCGCACTCAACATTTTGGGCTTAACAAAATCTGTGGTTTAGGGCTCTCTGTGATCCTTGGGTTTTTATTGTGTATCATTGTATATTCAGATATGAATGTTAGCAACATGGTTTTAGGTCACCCTGATGTAGCAGCTAGCTTAGCTAGCTTATATTCAAATTGTCTTTCTCTGCATTCGGCCTCTGTTAGTTCACTCTTAATTCAGGATCTATGATATTACTACTAACTTCCAGCTCTTTCAAGTTTTTAGTATTAATTGTACGCAGTGTAAAAATAGTGTTAGCACAGCCTCCTCTCCTTGTTTCACTTCATGTTTCCTTGAGGTGGAGGTGCCGGCAGTGATGGGCCCCGTCCTCTGCTCCTGTCCTGTCTTGTGTTATTATTGGCTGTGTTCTCCCCTCTCTAAAGCAGAAGGTCAGGCTCTGCTCTGCGTGCCGCCTCATCAAAATGCAAAGACACGAGTCGAGTGAGCGGGCAAAAAAACGGGTGGAAAGAACACAGCAGCCTGCGAAATGTCCCGACGGTGTTCCCAAGCTCCGGCTATACAGGCCACGTCTGAAACTCCGGCTCTGAACGAGGGACTTTCAGAGGCCAAGCACACATGTCTCTTGTGTTGTACTGACACAGACTTTGAAGTGATTTCTCATACTACAGTGCCTTGCGAAAGTATTCGGCACCTTGAACCTTTCGCCACATTTCAGGCTTCAAACATAAAGATATAACATTTTAATTTTTTGTCATGAATCAACAACAAGTGGGACACAATCGTGAATTGGAATGAAATTTGTTGGATAATTTAAACTTTTTTAACAAATAAAAAACTGAAAAGTGGGGCGTGCAATATTATTCGGCCCCTTTACTTTCAGTGCAGCAAACTCACTCCAGAAGTTCAGTGAGGATCTTTGAATGATCCAATGTTGTCCTAAATGACTGATGATGATAAATAGAATGCACCTGTGTGTAATCAAGTCTCCGTATAAATGCACCTGCTCTTTGATAGTCTCAGGGTTCTGTTTAAAGCGCAGAGAGAACCATGAAGACAAAGGAGGTCCGAGATACTGCTGTGGAGAAGTTTAAAGCCGGATTTGGATACAAAAAGATTTCCCAAGCTTTAAACATCTCAAGGAGCACTGTGCAAGCAATTATATTGAAATGGAAGGAGTAGCAGACCACTGCAAATCTACCAAGACCCGGCCGTCCCTCCAAACTTTCATCTCAAACAAGGAGAAGACTGATCAGGGATGCAGCCAAGAGGCCCATGATCACTCTGGATGAACTGCAGATAACTACAGCTGAGGTGGGGATGGTGTGTTCAGGGTGATGAGCTGTGTTGCTTTTACGCCAAACATATCGTTTTGCATTGTGGCCAAAAAGTTTGATTTTGGTTTCATCTGACCAGAGCACCTTCTTCCACATGTTTGGTGTGTCTCCCAGGTGGCTTGTGGCAAACTTTAAGAGACTTTTATTGGATATCTTTGAGAAATGGCCACTCTTCCATAAAGGCCAGATTTGTGCAGTGCACGACTGATTCTTGTCCTATGGACAGACTCTCCCACCTCAGCTGGAGTTATCTGCAGTTCATCCAGAGCGATCATGGGCCTCTTGGTTGCATCTCTGATCAGTCTTCTCCTTGTTTGAGATGAAAGTTTGGAGGGACGGCCGGGTCTTGGTAGATTTGCAGTGGTCTGATACTCCTTCCATTTCAATATAATTGCTTGCACAGTGCTCCTTGAGATGTTTAAAGCTTGGGAAATCTTTTTGTATCCAAATCCGGCTTTAAACTTCTCCACAACAGTATCTCGGACCTGCCTGGTGTGTTCCTTTGTCTTCATGGTTCTCTCTCCGCTTTAAACAGAACCCTGAGACTATCAAAGAGCAGGTGCATTTATACGGAGACTTGATTACACACAGGTGCATTCTATTTATCATCATCAGTCATTTAGGACAACATTGGATCATTCAAAGATCCTCACTGAACTTCTGGAGTGAGTTTGCTGCACTGAAAGTAAAGGGGCCGAATAATATTGCACGCCCCACTTTTCAGTTTTTTATTTTTTTTTTAAAGTTTAAATTATCCAATAAATTTCGTTCCACTTCACGATTGTGTCCCACTTGTTGTTGATTCATGACAAAAATTTTAAATTTTATATTTTTGTTTGAAGCCTGAAATGTGGCGAAATGTTGAAAGGTTCAAGG